ACACACACACACATATATATATATATATATATATATATATATGAATAATGTTATTATTTAGTATTTTTTAGGGATTTTTCTCATTGACAGATTTCAGAGGCTCATGATAATCAGTAGAAATATGATATTGATGATATCTAATGAAAGCAGTCTTGAATTCTGACGGATGAATCTGTTCTCTTCTTGATTCTATTCCATCAGTACGCCAAGAACCATGAGTTGCATTTCACAGACCTGACATTTGGTGATTCAGCGATGTATCAGTGTATTGCTGAGAACCGTCACGGCACAATATATGCCAACGCCGAGCTCAGGGTCTTTGGTGAGTATTCATCGTTTAGTATTAATATTTGCTGTAAAATGTGGTTCTGAGCTTCAGGACTCAAAGGGTTGAAGATCTTGAGGAACACTGCTAGTTCTTCCTCTGAATGTGTTGTTTTCTCAGCCGGCGCTCCTTCGTTTGAGTGGAAACCCGTGAAACCCAAACTTCTGGGGGCCAAAAACGGGCGCGTGGTGATTGACTGCAAACCCAGAGCAGCGCCGCGGCCGACCATCTCCTGGAGCAAAGGAACTGAACTCCTACACAACTCCAGCAGGTCAGAGGTCACGCAGAGGTCATCTCACGGATCCCTGCTCTCTCCAGAACCATTCATATTCAGTCTGTTATGATTGCAGGATTTTCATATGGCCAGACGGGAGTTTAGATCTTCTGAACATCACTAAATCAGACGAAGGAAATTACACATGTTTCGCAGAAAATGACAGAGGCCGAGCGAACAGCTCCAGATCGCTGTCAGTCACTGGTACGACACAGAATCCAAACCCTAACATCAGAACATCCTGATTATTACTGCTGTTATTGTGTTGGCTTGAGAAAGACAATGTACTGTTCACCCTGGCAATCACATAGCAACATTCCAGCAGCAACACACCTAACAACACCCTAGCCTTGCAACACACAGAATAACTTAGAAACTGCAAAGTAAAGCCCTAACAAAACACCCAAAAGATTCTAGCAACCGCATAGCAACACCCTAGCAACCACCCAGAATATTATACAACACCCTAGCAATGCCCTAACAACCACCTCCTAGCCTAGCAACCACTTATAATAATTTAGAAACTGTAAACTAACACCCTAACAACCAACCAGAACAACTAAGCAATGCCCTAACAAGCACCCAGAACAACATAGTAGCCTCATAGCTACCTACTAGCCTAGCAACCACCCAGAAATCCTTAAAAACTGCAAAGTAACACCATAACAACCATCCAGAAGACACCAGCAACTGCATAGCAACACCATAGCGACCACCCAGAACACCCTAGAAACTGTGTAAAAACACCCTAGCAACCACCCAGAATACTCTACAATACCCTGCAATGCCCTAATGACAATTCAGAACATTCTAGTAGCTGCATTGGAACACCCTAGCCTAGCAACCACCCAGAATACCTTAGAAACTGCAAAGAAAAATCCCCACCAACCATCCAGAACACCCTAGTAACCACATAGCAACACCATAGCAACTACCTAGCAACCACACAGAATGCCCCATCCAGAATAGCCTACCATCGGCAAAACAACACCCCAACAGCCTCTCAGAACACCCTAGCCTAGCAACCACCCAGAATACTTCAGAAACTGTAAAGTAACACCCTCCCTAACAACCACCCAGAACACCCTAGCAACTCCATTAGCAACCATCCAGAACACATCTGTTTGTCTGACAGACTGAATGGCCTTAAAATCTCCTAACCTTAATCTTTAAACCTACTGAAAACTTTCTTGCTGGGCTTCTTCTCAAATGAACGTCACAGTTTGTAATCTAGTTGAGTTTGTATTTGTTGGTTAAAGGGCTAGTTCACCCTTCATTTTAAATTTAAAAATTTTAATTAGCCCACAAATTACTCACCCTCAAGTCATCCTAGCTGTATGACTTTCTTCTTTCAGACAAATCCAGTCGGAGTTATATAAAAAATTGTCTTTGATCTTTCAAGCTGTTTAATGTCACTCAGAGGGTGTTGCATGCATCAATCCAAAAGAAGTTAAATAAAAAGCTCCCATCCATAAAAAAAAATGTCTCACATGGCTCCGGGAGGGTGAACAAAGGCCTCCTGTAGCGAATCGATGCGTTTTTGTAAGAAAAATATCTATATTCAAAACGTAATAATCGCTTTAATCTAGCTTGCACTCACTGTTGTACACAGAAGCAGCTCCGGGCAGATGACGTATGAGGTCAGCTTTGCACATGCGCCGCTCAGAAGTGACGAACGTGGAAGCGCAGCGGAGAGATCAAAACAAAATACCGGTCACTTATTAGAAGTACAAAACGAGGATTTGTAAAGAAGAATGTCGGAGGATTTCGATACAAGCAAAGATGGGACTGGTTTTCCTTTGCTAAAGTAAGGAAACTTTGCTTCATTTGCTCCTGTTAACAAACGTTGGTTTTCACGAGACTCACCATCGCATGCGCAACGTTGAACTCATACTTCATCCGCCCGGAACTACTTCCGTGTAGGACTGTTGGCGCAAGCTACATTAAAGTGATTATTACGTCTTGAATATGGATATTTTTCTTACAAAACGCATCGATTCGCTACAGGAGGCCTTTGTTCACCCCCCGGAGCCGTGTGAGACACTTATTTAATGGATAGGCGCTTTTTATTTAACTTCTTTTGGACTGATGCATGCAACACCCGCTGAGTGGCATTAAACAGCTTGAAAGATCAAAGACAATTTTTAATATAACTCTGACTGGATTCGTCTGAAAGAAGAAAGTCATATACACCTAGGATGACTTGAGGGTGAGTAATTTGTGGGCTAATTTTCATTTTTGGGTGAACTAACCCTCAAAGTGTGATGTGATGGACACACGTCTCACTCCTGCCCTCTGCTGCCACAAACACGCGACTGCACATCAGCAGAAGTGAGAAGCATTCTCCTGTATTCATGTGTCCTGTAGAAGTGCTGGAATCAGAATCAGTCGTTTGTTGTCTGAGTTTATCGTTGTCTCTCTTCAGACGCCACGAAGATCACTCTGGCCCCGTCCAACTCTGACGTCAGTGTGGGAAAGAGCGCCAGGATGGAGTGCGCCACGTCACATGACCCCACCCTCGACCTCACCTTCATCTGGTCCCTCGATGCACACGTCATTGACTTCGACCGAGATAGAGAGCATTACGAGCACAAAACGGTGAATTCAGTTCCTCATGTTAAATCCTGTTAAATACTGATGACAAACATCTATTGATTATTTTTTTAGTTTAATGAATCAAGACTCTTCAGTAACATAGTGGATCCCTTAACACAAAAAACGATAACTATGACAACTATAATGATAACTATAATAATTATTATTATTATAATGATAACTATAAAGATAACCATAATGCTACTTATGATAACTATAGTGCTACTTTTAATGATATCTGTAATAATTATAATAATTATAATATAATAGTATAATGATAACTATGATGATAATTTTGATAACTATAATTATAACTATAATGATCATTCGAACGATAATTATAATAATAACTATATCGGTAATTATAATGATGACTGTAACAGTAACTATACTGATAATTATAACAATGCTTACTATAATGTCTATAACTATAACAATGAATATATTGATAACTATGACAATAACTGTAATGATAAATAATGGTAAACCTAACAGTATATATAATGATAACTATAAAGATAAGCATAATGCTACTTTTAATGGTATCTATAACAATTAGTATATTGATAACTATAACAATAATTATAATGATAACTATGAAGATCATTTTGATAACTATAATTATAACTATAATGCTAATTATAATAATAACTATATCGGTAACTATAATGATGACTGTAACAATAACTATACTGATAATTATAACAATGCTTGCTATAACAATGACTATATTGATAACTATGACAATAACTGTAACGATAAATAATGGTAAACCTAACAGTATCTATAATGATAACTATAATGATGATAACATGATAACTGTAACAATGATGACTGTAAAGATAATGTAACTGTTACAGTCAGGTCAGAGACAAGCAGCCGCAGAGCCAGGGTGACACTGAGGATCCGGAGGGCCAAGGCGGCGCTGAAGGCTCAGGCGACCGAGGCGGAGGAGGGGCTCCGGAAGACCACGCCGGAGCGACAGAGAACAAAGGTGGAGCCGGATGGAAGGAGGAGCCTGACAGAGCCAGAGAGACGGAGTGACGAGGCGAAGCCAGAGGATTCCCCGAGGCGGCGGATGGTCGATGACTGACCAAGCTGGAGGGATGAGGGAGCCCGGTGGAGCTGGTGGGATAACGGGCCACGGTGGAGACAAGGGAGCTAGGAGCCGGACTCGGAGGCTGGAGGCGGAGACAGGGGATCCTCACGCCTAGGCGGAGTTGGAGAATGGAAGTCCCGAGGCAGATCAGAGCGCCCAGATGGTGCTGACTGAGGGTGTGCTGAGGGACTGACAGGCACCAACGGAGATAGAGCTGAGGAACTGGCTGATATTAGAGGAGGTGGGAGAAGGAGGCTGGGTGGAAGCTTAGGAGTAACAGGGAATTTAGGAGATACAGGAGAGCTGGACGGAACCAGCAGGGGCTCTGGAGACAATGGGGAGGTGGGCGGGACCAACGGGAAAGGGAGAAGCCAGAATTCCTCCTCACTCAAATAGCTCAATAGTTCAGAGTCCAGTAACAGCTCACCCTCAGTAGTGGGCGGGGTTATTCTCCATTTCCTCAATCTCCACAATTATTCCCATGATGCACAGTGTTGCCGGCTCATGCACCTGGTCAGTCGCACTCTCGAGCCCTAGCTCCGGGGCGATGATTGGCTCTGTCGCTTTAAATGGCGTTGGCTCTTTAATCGCAGCCGGCTCGGGCTCTGCGGCTGCGGTGGGCTCTGGCGAACGTTCCGTGCAGTGTGATGGTGATGGCTGGCTGGACTCTGGCTCGGGAGTGGGGCTGGAGTTGTCCTCGATGGGGCAGACGGAGAAAAATAGTCCATTATTCTCCAGCAGCCACTCCACACAAGCGGCAAAATTCTCCTTTGGACCGTCCGCTGGTAGGCGTGCCTTACACCGCTCGCTCAGGCTGGTGAGGTAGAACAGGGGTTTTCAACCTGTGGGGCGCCAGCACCTGTTAAGGGGGGCGCGAGCATCAGTTAATTCAGAGACATTCCCTTGAGGATTTATGAATATGAGTTAGCAAATCTTTAGCCATCCACTAGGGGGCAATCTGACTCCCACTGCTAGTTGACAGTTAGAGCAGAGTTGGCTTGAGTATCAGTCACGCTTATTGACAGTGTAAGGTGATTTACGGTTAGCCGTGTTGGAAATCTAACCACGGATTGGCATGTTGTTATCTCAGAAACAGGCTCAGCCATCACATTGAATCAGGTAAACTGGTTATATACAGTATTTATATTTCAGTATAATTACGCACGCTATACCAGGGGCAGTTCTAAACCCTTTTTAGGTGGGTTTCAGCCCCCCTAACTGTCACCTTAGCCCCCCAAAACTATTTTAATGATCAGGCCAGTGCTGCTTCCTCAAGAAAGTTTTTCATTCTCACGTGTTTTAAGTTTTGTCAGTTTAAACATTTAAGTAATTTTAAGCCATTTAAGCCCAAGACATCTCAGTGCGGTATGCACGCGCTGTGATAAAGCATTTCTATGCGCACCGCGCACACATCTGAAGTGCACAAACAGATAGCCTTCTCAGACAACAGGTGAATACCAATGGCTGTCTTGACAAGTATCCTTGTAAGCACAGTCGGTTGTTTTAAGTGAACGTGAACAGTAAAGAAAATATCAGATGTACATCAGTATAACGGATCCGTGCATTTCTTATATAAATGTTAATCAAAAAGAGCAAAAGAAAAATAATTCGCTGCTTTAATAGCTTTAATGGATATTTGCGTTATGTTGATGTTAATAAAGTAATTCGGTGTGAATACAGTAATGGGGGGGTGTTGGGGGGGCGCGAATGAAATTAGACAAACTTGGGGGGGTGCATGTCCTAAAAGGTTGAAAACCCCTGATGTTGAAAACACAGAGCGAGCGGTCCGGGAAGTGAGTAAGGCATGCCAGGTTGATAAAGTCCCTGGTGTGGTCTTCCAGCGAACGGTGCTGCTGCTCCAGGCAAAGCAGCTGGACTGCAGGCAGGTCCATAGAGGGAGAGGGATGAAAGAAACAAAACAAACAGAAAGAAAGAAAAATGCCGCAAAAAATTTACTCAAAATGAGGGCTGGTGATTTTGTTACAGTCTCTCTAAAGGAAGGCAAAGAAGACGAGAATAATCCACAACGAAAAGTCTTTAATATTATAATCCACAAAAACTCAGGCAAGGAAATAGCTCAGGATAGTCATAACATCAAACAATCACTGACAAACGACAGAACAGAAGGAAGACTTTAAGTAGGGCAGCTGACGAGGGGAAAATGGGTGAAGGGAGTTAACTAATAATGACTAACGAGCAAATTAATCAAAAACCATGGAAACTAATAGACAAGGGGACTCAGGGAAATGTGGAGGCAGAAACAGAACCAAAACAGTACATAACCATGACAGTAACGAACAATCACTATATTTCAAACTAAACTAACAAAAGAATAACAGTAATGATAAATGTAACGATAACTATAACGATAATTATGATAATTGCAACGATAACCATAATGTTAAATATTATGTTAATTATGAGAACTGTAATGATAACTATCACGTTAACTGCACCAATAACTATACTGACATTGCTGGATGAATCACTTTGAAAGTGAGTCTTTATCGTCATAATCGTGGTATGGATGCCGCTATTGTCCCAACTGTATGGTTTTAGTTATCGTTCTTGGTGTGAACAGGTGTCTTGTGTATATAGCAAACATGAATTAAACGTATTAATTGAAATGATTGTTGCTCAGGATGTTAATCAGGATGGTCAGGATGGGATGTCCAGCTCAGAGCTGTTGATCAGTAACACCCAGCTGAGACACGCAGGACATTACAGCTGTACGGTGCAGACGCCGGTGGACAACGTCACGGCCTCCGCAGAGCTGGTGGTCAGAGGTCAGACTGAGACTCATGGGATCATTCTCCATTTTATCTTCAATAAACCTGAGCGGGACGTCACAGAGCTGATGTTTTCTGATGTTGATCACCATCTCCCGTGTCTCCTCATTCTCAGGTCCCCCAGGTCCTCCCGGTGGTGTGCGTGTGGACGAGGTGATGACCAGCAGCGTGAGGGTGACCTGGAGTCACGGGACGGATAACTTGAGTCCCATCTCCAAATACAGTGTCCAGTACAGAGACGTGCGAGAGCAGCAGGACTGGAGAGACGCCTCCACCTGTGAGTACATCACCACACTTCACTCTAGTGATGATACATATGTGTGCGTGTATAATTAATATATTGATATACTTTTCTGCACATTTAAGATGACTATTTAATTTGTTAATCATCTGTTAATAAAGTTTGACTTGATTATTTGAATCCATTAAAAGCACTAGTTTGGATGTAAACCAGCCGCAGTGAGTTTGTGCTGTAATCCAGTGATTCTGTGTGTCTTCAGCTCCAGTGAATGTGGAGGGAAATGCAGAAATGGCCTCCGTGATCAATCTGACGCCCTGGACGGAGTATGAGTTCAGGGTCATCGCCACCAACACGCTGGGCATCGGACCCCCGAGTGACCCCTCGCCCAAAATCACCACCAGAGAAGCCAGTGAGCTCCTTCTGTCCTCATTTGAGGAAACAATCACCTGCGGTTTATTGCCATTAGTGTGTTTGTTTAACCCAGCTACTTCAGCCCGTTTTGACCTGGAAGCAGAGCATAACAATTTCAAGGTTTTAGTACAGGAAGCAAACTTTAGAAATGAGTAAAGACTATCAAAATACATATCATTTATTTTTTCTGATTAAAAAAATAGATGTGTCTCAAAAACACTTCTGTGAAATGCATTTAGCCTGGCTACCACATCTCACATTTTTAGGACAAAATTCTGCTGATAAACATCACACTGTAAACACACTAAACTGGCATAACAAATTAACTATATCAAATGAACAGAGCAAAAGTTCAATGACCAAATAGTCTGAATTTGATAAAGGACAGAGGATTGAAAACGAAGAAGTCCACATTTCACTCTGCTGCCACCTATTGATGAACCATTGCAGCGTCTACCATTATCGCTGCACCATTATCAGTCTTTTTAATGATAAAAGTGAAAGTTTATACAAGTGAAAGAAATATATTTTGTTTGAAAACATTCCAGACTCATATTGATGTTGTTTGTTAGAAAATGTAGGTTTCGTAAATCTGGACTATTTTTGAGCAGTTATGAGTAAAAAAAAAAAAAGTAATTAAATTCTGTTAATTCCAATGGAGCTAATGCTGGTCATTTTCAGATTGTATGTTCTTATAAGTTTCATATAATGATATATTCAAATAAAATGTATCATCAATACTGAAATGCATCAGAGTAGTTTTGCTGTAGTTCATGTATTATATGAAATTTCTCATTTTTAATTAGTAAAAAGGGGGGCAAATGTAGTAAAAACATGGTAATAACAGTAAAATTTAAAACATTTACAGGTTCACTCATCAATATATGCATTCATTCATCAGATATTATGCCGTTTTAGTTGAAAATGATCAGAAGCTCACATTACTTTGCTTTAATAAGCTTACGTTCCACCAGGTCCATGCATTCGTGTTTAAGTCAATCCTCACTAGTACTATTGTTGATAGTGATCTGATTAAACCACTAACACTAAGTATTAAACATCAGTGTGTTAGTCCTCCAGCAGCATTCTGGGAAACCACCCACAACATACAGTAACACCACTGGAATCATCTAGAACATCATAGTAACTAGTAATTGCATAGCAATGCCCTAGCAACCAATATTACTGTAACGTCTGTCATTATTTAGTGCTGGACACTCTCTCTCTCTCTCTCTCTGTTTGCGCATGTGCGAGTGAGTGAGCGGAGCGTTGAGTGTGGAGTGTGTGAGCAGGAGTGTGAGGTACGAGTGTTTGTTCTTTCTTTCCTTCTTTTTTCTTTATATATATATTTTTTTTGTTGTTGTTGTTTTTGTATTTAGTGGTGAAGTGGTTGAAAAAGGGTCGAGTCAAACGCCGCTAATACTAGTGTTGGAGTAGTGCAGAATGAAACTACGGTTGATGCGGAGGTACCGGGGCTTAGTGTAGCTCGCGCTGTAGATGCGGAGCTAAATAATGAGGTGACACCGACAAAACTAGTTACAAGTGTGAAGAAAGTGTTGGTTGTTGATAAGAACCCCGTAGAGGGTGAACCGATAATAGACCCTTTGGTAGAATCAGAAGATGGCTACAATGTGGTGGATTCTGGAGAACAGATGTTGATGGACCAGAATTTGGGTGGATCGGTACTTGAATTGGATGATTATTCTTTCAATGCACCGCAAAAAAGGAAGTCAATGGAACGACATGCTAGTAAGCCGATGAAAAAAGCTGATGTTCGGGAAGTTAGTCAGACTGACACGGACAGTGTGGGTAAGGGGTCAGAATGCAGCTTCATGGGTAGTTTGCCTGCGAGCGGCTTCTCTAGTCAGCTATATAATGTAGATGGCATTAAGTATTTTTTAAAGGTGACAAAAACCATGAGAAGAAAAACCTTTTTTTCCTAGACATTCCACAATTGATCGAGAAAGTTAAATTGTTTAGAAGCGAGAACCAATTTTCTGACCCTGAAGTTTTTCGTTTGAAAAAAATTCTCACCAAATTAAATGCTCAGTCAGAACCAGGTGAAAGCAGTCAGAATGGTTAAAGGTTATTATTCTTTTCTGGGTTTGCTCTTTTTTCTTTTTTTTTTCTTTTTTTTCTATTTTCTGGGTTTGCTGTTTTTTCTGTTCTGTTTCTGTTTTTCTCTTTTCCTTCTAATGGGGGTAGTACATTTTTCCTCATTAAATATTAATGGTGCAAGAGAGAGTATGAAAAGAGCGCAGATTTTTGAGATAATGACACAGAAAGGATTAGATGTTTTATTTTTGAAATTTAGATAAGATTAGGTCAATAAGAAAACTAGAAGACGATTTAGTTAAACTTCAAGAGCTCTTGGAGGTAACAAAAAATGAAATAGAGATAGAGTCTTTTAGGAAAAAGAAAGCTTCTTTGAATTAAATGTTAGATTTAACCGTACAAGGTGCTAATATTAGATCTCGTTTTCAAAGCATTGAGTCTATGGATGCACCTTCAAAAACATTTTTTAACCTAGAAACGAAAAATGGGAAGAATAGACATATTCATGCTTTACGTTCAGAAACGGGAGTTCTTTTATTGAACTCTGTAGATATTAGAAAGAGAGCGGTCAAATTTTATGAAGATCTGTATAAAAATGAGTTGTGTACACAGACTTCAAATAATGTCTTTCTTGAAAATTTGCCACAAGTAAATGAAGACGTCAATTAAGTAATTAGTAAAGCATTGACTATGGATGAATTAGAGAAGGCTCTGAATAGCATGGAGAATGGAAAAACGCCAGGAATGGATGGTTTCTCAGTCGAATTTTATACAACTTTTTGGACAGAGATAGGTCTTGATTTGTTGGCAGTTCTCAATCAGAGTTTATCTGATGGACAGTTACCCAGAAGCTGCCGTAGAGCTGTTATCGCTCTGCTCCCAAAAAAAAGGAGATTTAAATGAAATAAAAAATTGGAGGCCCATAAGTCTTTTATGTAATGATTATAAATTACTGTCAAAAGTATTGGCAAATAGATTAGGAGATGTTTTAGATTATAATAATAATTATTAATCCGGATCAAACATATTGTGTTCCAGGTAGAAGAATTACTAATAACATTTCTTTTGTAAGAGATGTTTTAGATAATCGTAAGGTTTTATTAGACTTTGGTTTAATCTCAATTGATCAGGAGAAGGCTTTTGACAGGGTCGAACATAAATATTTATGGAGTGTTCTAGCAGCTTTTGGCTTTAGTTCTGATTTTATATCAATGATTAAAGCTATGTATTGTGACGTTGAGAGTACATTGAAGATAAATGGTGACTTATGCTCTCCGTTTAAGGTTTTAAGAGGGGTTAGACAAGGTTGTGCTCTTTCTGGCATGTTGTACACCTTGGCTATAGAACCTCTTTTAATTAAGTTAAGAATTGACATGTGTGGTTTACAGATTTTAAATGGTATTGAAGCTGTTAAATTATCAGCCTACGCTGATGATGTGATAGTGTTAAGTAGTAATCAAAATGATGTGAATGTGATGTTACAAACATTAGAAGATTTTAGACATGTCTCCTCTGCAAAAGTAAACTGGCAGAAGAGTGAAGCTATAATTGCTGGGAGTTGGTTACATGGGGAACCCATTTTACCAGCTGGTCTGAAATGGACCAGAGATAGTTTTAAATACTTGGGTGTCTTTTTAGGCAATGAGAATGCTGTTAAAGAAAATTTTGAAGGTGCTTTTGAGAAGGTAAAAGGGGGCCTCGATAGGTGGAAGTTTCTAGTTCCAAAGATGTCATATAAAGGATGACTTTTGGTTATAAATAATTTAGTTGCCTCTACTCTCTGGCATCGTTTAAGTTGCATAGATCCCCCAGTAGATATTTTATCTAAGATTCAGTCATGTTTAGTGGATTTCTTTTGGGACAAGTTGCACTGGGTACCAAAAAGTGTACTGTACCTTCCTAAAGAAGAAGGAGGGTTTGGACTGGTACATCTACAAAGTTGAACAGCTGCTTTCAAGATTCAGTTCATACAAAGACTTCTAACAGGCTCAGAGAACTCAAACTGGAAGAAAGCAGCTTTCTCTATATTGAGAGGGTTTGAAGGCCTGGGATTGGATAGAGTCATATTTTGGCTAGATCCTCAAAAGTTGAACCTCTGTAAGTTTCCTGTTTTTTATCGGAATCTTTTTAAAGTGTGGGCCTTGTTCAAGACTCCAAAGGAGCGGACTGTGAACTCTTTGTACTGGCTGTTGCAAGAGCCATTAATTTTTGGCTCACGTTTGGCCTTGTCAAGTGAACTGAGTTACTCTGTGAAAGAAGAAAATCTTCTCAACTCTGGACTTTTAACCATTGGGAAAGTGCTACAAGTAGCTGGAGCTAATTTTTCAGATGTGAGTGCAATGACTGAGAAGCTGGGGATGAGATCTATGCGTCTGGTTGCCAGAGTACTTGACAAGTGGAGGACAGATGCTTAATTTAAATGAGTATGAGAAACCTGAGTGGAGAGTATTGCATAAGTCACCATTATCTAAGAGAATTGGAGATTTGCAATGGAGGTTTTTACATGGTGCAATTGCAGTGAACGCTTTTGTTTCTGTAATTAATCAGGATGTTGATCAAAATTGTTCTTTTTGTTCACAAAGGGAAACTGTCTTCCATGTGTTTATGCAGTGTTCTAGACTGACATCTTTATTTAATGTTTTGAGTAACATTTTTTATTGTTTTAATTAGTGTTTTTCAATGAAGAAATTCATTTGTGGTTTTAAATACTCACAGAGTCGCAAGTATCAGTGTCAATTGTTTAATTTTATATTGGGACATGCTAAAATGGCAATTTACATTACAAGAAAAGAAAA